TGGGGACACTCCTGGAGGTGGCACTGAGGGACATGGGGACACCTCAAGGGACGCAGGGACGAGGCCTGAGGAGGTGGGACATGGGGACACCCCTCGAGGTGGCACTGAGAGACATGGGGACATCCCAGGGGACACAGGGACACATCAAGGGACATGGGGACACCCCTGGAGGTGGCACTGAGGGACGTGGGGACGCCCCAAAGGGACATGGGGGCACATCAAGGGACATGGGGACACCCTGGAGATTTGACACAGGGACATGGGGACACATCAGGGGACATGGGGACACTTTGGAGATGGGACACAGGGACATGGGGACACCCCAAGGGACATGGGGATACCCCTGGAAGTTGCACTGAGGGACGTGGGGACACCCCAAGGGATGTGGGGACACCCTGGAGATGGGACACAGGGACATGGGGACACCCCTGGAGGTGACACCGAGGGACGTGGGGACACCCCAAGGGATGTGGGGACACCCTGGAGATGGGACACAGGGACATGGGGACACCCCTGGAGGTGACACCGAGGGACGTGGGGACACCCCCAGGGGAGGTGACACACTCCGAGGTGGCCCCAGGGGACACGGGGACACCCCCGGGGGACACGTGAGGGTGACAAGAGCAGCCAATGGGACCCCCGGGCTGGGGGGCGGTGGCTGTGACGTCACGGGCTGGGGGGTGACACGGGGACACCCCTGCAATGTCCCCGGGGTCATTCCCCCCATGAGAACACAACGTGTCCCCTCCCAGTGCTCCCAGTTCCCTCCCAGTTCCCCCAAATCCCCTCCCAGTGCCCCCAGTTCCTTCCCAGTGTCTCCCAGTGCCCCCAAATCCCCTCCTACTGTCCCCCAGTCCCTCCCAGTGGCCCTAAATCCCCTCCCACTCCACCCCAGTCCCATCCCATCCCCTCCCAGTCTCCCCCAGTCCCTCCCAGTGCCCCCCCCCGAGGTGCCCGCAGGATCGTTGTCCCCAAGGGGGGGGTTATAAAAGCCCTCGGTGACACTTTGGGGGGGTTTGTCTCAGCCATGGCCCCCTCCCCGCGCCCCTGGGTGGCCCTGGTGGTGGCCCTGGTGGTGGCTTTGGTGGCCCCCCCGGCGCGGGGGTGGGACCGGGACTCGCCCACCGCGACCCTCTCGGTGGAGAACGGGGGGACCTGGGGGGTCTGGGGGGACCCCGAGTTCTGCCCCGGGGGGACTTTCGCCAACGGCTTCCAGCTGAAGGTGGGATTTGGGGGGGTTTGGGGGGGGTCTGGGGACACGGGAGGGGATTTGGGGGCGTCCTGGGGGAGGGTTGGGGGACCCTGAGTTCTGTCCCGGGGGGGG